GCTCTTGCTTGTATGGTTGGAAATGTCCTAGAGCTGCACTCCTTCTCTACTGTGCCACTTTATCTTTTGAGATTGAGTGTAATGATCTTTGGCAGGCAAGCAAGCCTCAATAAGAATTCATGACTCTCCGGCAATTTTATGTATGTTTATTTACAAAAAGACACATCCAGAACCCGGCTTCTCACCTGCTCGCATTTACGTCTGTTGGTCTGTCTGAAGTTTTGCCTTTCCCACAGCAGGAAGGACACCAGACTCCCGCCTTTCCCCTCTTGCCCTTCCGCTGCCTTCTGATTTTATCCAAACACCTAGAATGGGGACTGAGAGGCTGACCTCCCCGCTACTCCCCACTGACTTGACACAGACTCAGACCTCTTCTTATCTGCTGGTTGCCTATCAATGCTCTGGCTGCCTTCCAACTCCTCCTCTTCTTGAGAGCTAATAGAGTCTTCCCCGGGAAGGGGCGTTAAACTGCCCTCTCTCAATTCTGTCAGCCAGTTCTCATCTGCAAAGTCAGACCCTTGTTCACTTAGTTCAGTCTCTGAGACTAACTCATCCCCTGGCCATGTTCCTGACATTGAGGTGCTCAAGACAGAGGAAGGAAGCAGGGAGGTAAAGGTCATGTGATCCTACCTGGACCCTGAGATCATCTCAGACACCCCCACTCCATCAATGAGGTACACCCTCGAAAGCTAAGCACTTTCAGAGTGTGAACGCAGTGCCTGCATGTAGATCAAGAGCTCTCTCCTGCCTTCACTGACCAGCAGACTGCTGAGCCATTAAGTGGGGATCATGGGGTCTGTGCACTCCAAGCCTTCCCTCTCACCAAGATACCAGGAGATTTGAATTTCAAGGTTGAGCAACCTACTGTATACTGAGTGAAGAGACAACAGAGGACTGTGCAGGGGCAGAGGGTGAGGATGGAGACAATTTTTAACCTGCAAGCGATGCTGGTGAATTTTCTGCCTTTGAATTCATTTGTGTAACAGACCTCCCTGCTAGATAATCTGGGACATTTAAGAGGCCTGAGATTCACAAGTTTCATGGTTCGGTTTTGCACATCTCCATCATTAACAAAAACAAACAAACCACAAAGATAACTTCTGCTGGCTTCAAGCTCTATACCTGAACTCTTCATTCACTTCCCCATTAAAAAAGAAATTGCATAATGGTTCTAGACACCATAATACGGAATGAACCAGAAAACCCAGAATTTTGACACTTTGCCTTACCTAAGCACTCGGCAAAGGGCATGTCGTTGCTCTTCCTACATTGTGTAGGCCTAGTAGTAATTTGTGTAGACAACTCATTTTTGATGGAGGGTAGGTTTGAATCACGCCAATATGAATCAGCCCACTTAACACATGAAGAATGCTTCTCGATGATAATAACCTCTTTTTAATAGTTTGTGTAAACTACTCATTTTCACACACAAGGGTGACTGCAGCTTTGTGATTTTCCCTTCTTCAATGACAGAGTGCCTGCATTTGAATAAATGACCTCAAATACAGGAGCATAATAGCCTAACGGCACAGAAAATATCCAGCGTGTTGAACTGTGCATACCACTCTTCTACTTTCCCCAGCCAAGTTTTTAAGGTTGTGGCTGAGTTTTGTGCTATGAATTCAAGCATGGTAGGATGGGAGCGGGGCAGAAAACAGAAGAGCCTCTAGCTCAGCCTTTCTCAACCTGTGGGTCCCCAGATGTTGTTGAACTACAACTCCCATCACCCCTAGCTAGCAAGGCCAGAGCTCAGGGATGATGGGAGTTGTAGTCCAACAACATCTGGGGACCCACACGTTGAGAACCGCTGCCTAGCTTAACCATACCACAAATATGCCGGAACAGAGCTCCAAACTCTGCAAAAATGCACCACACCATGGATGGTGCCACAGATGACTGGATACACAACAGGAATGCTCCTGCCATCCTTATTATGGGAAGCAACTGGGATGCCTCTTCGATCCTTCTGCTCTGTCTTCCTTTGATAGCGGGTGGCCACATGTCCTACTTAAAGTCTGGTTTAAATATACAGGGGTCACCAGACTTTTGGGGCCCATGGGTGTACTTGGAATCATATTATTTAATTACTCTTGATTTGTTGTACTTATCTCATGGAATCTCAGAGAGTTGGAAGAGACCCTGAGGATCATCAAGTCCAACCCCCTGCAATGCAGAAATATGCAACTGTCCCTTACGGGGATCAAACCTGCAACCTTGACGTTGTCAGCATCATGCTCTAGTCTAACCAACTGAGGTATCTCAGCTTTTTCTCCAAGGAGCTCAAGGTGGCATTTACGGCTCCCTTCAGGGACACTTTCTGGTGCAGGAGGGAAAGGCTGGTGCACACACTCCACATTCACACACCCATTTTGGTCTCAGTCTGGCTCACTCTCTGGAGATCCTAGCTAAAAAGAGAGAGATTGCTGTGTGGAGCACACATTTAACACAATTCAATATTTCTTAATCGGTAGGCATATTTGTGCCACTTGGGCATTTAGCTTTCAAGTAACTGACTCAATTTCTCATATCATTTTCATGAGCAGGGGAGAAAGCAAACCACAGCCTAGCATATTCTAATGAAATCACACAGGAGTTTTGGTTTTTTTAAAAAAATTATAATAATTTAGGTGACTTTTTGTGAATCTCATTTCCTATGCTTCAGCAATTCTGAAAATGTCCATTCAAAGCAGGCCCCGGTAACCACGAAAACTAGATAATTATCTCAGGAAATGCAAGATGAACTTTACAGAATGTGAGCAAAAGGACATCAAAAGTCAATGGTTCGTGAGCTGCCGAGCCCATTCTGCACAGAAAAACCCTAGTGTTTCAGACATTGCTTTATGCATGCTTGTTATTGTTTTTCTCCAGTTATTTTAGAAAAAGAAAGAATATCTTCTGCCATGCATGATCACCTCCTGTTTTTTCTTTAGCTTGCATACAGACCTACCCCTTTCTTAAATCATTTCCAGGGAGAGGATTTGGGGCACATCAGGCATGCTAATTCAGTATGCTTGGAATTCCCTGAATTTTAATTCAGAATGTCTGGAACCCCACAGCAGGTGATTACGATTCTGTTGATATTTATCCAGACCACAAACGGCATAGCCCACAATGGTGTCATGCAGGGTTGGGGAACCTTTTTGACACTGCTGACAGCCATTACTACAGTAGAAAGCATTGTTGGGTGGGACCAGAACCACATACAATCACACAACACCCCCTTGACATATGCACAGACACACAATCCCGGACACATGGAGACAGAGGCAGAGATCTAATTTTCAGTAACTCCATTTGTGTGTCACAAAGTGCCGTAGAGTTTATAAAGCAACGACAACTCTGAAATACCCTTTACTTGTTCAGATTGTGCAAAGGTGTGGAGGGAAGACTCAGTAACCTTGCAAAAAAAAGAGCCCCAACAATAAACAGAAGTTCAATATGCACCCTCAACTGCAGGTGATTATCCAAAACCCTCAAACTTCAAAATGTGATGGCATCCTGAAAATGGCATACAGTGGTACCTCAGGTTACATACGCTTCAGGTAACATACTCTTCAGACTCCACTAACCGAGAAATAGTGCTTCGGAGGTGCGGCAGCAGTGGGAGACCCAATTAGCTAAAGTGGTGCTTAAGGTTAAGAACAGTTTCAGGTTAAGTACGGACCTCCGGAACAAATTCAGTACTTAACCGAAGTACCACTGTATATGCAACTGCAAGATGCATCAGAGCTTCTTAAATATTTTCAAGGAACACATTTGATCCTCTTGCTGCCTTTATTTATTTTTCATTTATATCCCACCTTTATTCCAAGGCGCTCAATACAGTGTACTTGGTTTTCCTTCTTCCCATTTGATCCTCACAACAACCTTGTGAGGTAGGTCAGGCTGAGAAACAGTGGCTGGCCTAAAGTCACCTATGCTTTGCAGGGCATCAAAGCCCTTCCCCTTCTGCTGTTCCCCACCAAGAAGCTCATGGGCAGGAGAGGACCCTGAGGGCCAATCTAACTGTGGTCCTGTTTGGCCTACAATCCAGGGGTTCTGCATGCTTTGAAGTGCAGGAGCATATTGTGACAGCTCCCGTAGCCAAGCCCTATACAGGCACACCGAAGAGCAGCAGTAAGTAGCTTAATATCCAGTTTATTAGGATCAGCATGACTGCAATCCTGTGCATCGTTTCCTGGGAGTAAACTCCATTCAACTCAACGGCCCTTAGTTCTGACACAATAGGAACAACTTGTAGAAAATACTGAGCATTAGCGAAAGATCTTCAGGCAGTTAAAAAGCCACCTTTCACTTGGAATTAGAAATGTGAACAGCATTGTAATGAAGTATTTTCATTTAAAGGGCTAGTGTGAAGTGGGAACCTCATCAAAGAAAAGGAAAGAAGTATCTAGCCTTGCATAATTTCCCCCCACATTCTCTGACTTTTCATATGCTAATCTGTTACAAGCAAGCACAAAAGCCTTACTATCATCTCACTCACTTCCCACGACTTTTAATTACCCTGATGTTCCTAGTCTCTAGCCCATTTGCCCCACTGCCCCACTATACCACAGAATGAGGGACAAAACCATAGGAAGAAACCTGTTGTACTTAGTGACTTTCTTTCAGGCACTCCTCATATCACTTCTGGCATATCTATATAAGGGATGGGACGACAACTTCCATAATTTCTGAACACTGGCCATTCTGGGCAGGGGCTGATGGGAACTGGAGTCCCCCCCCCCATCAGGAAGGCCACAGGGTCCCCAGTCCTGATCTACACTAACTAATCTAAAACCTCCTTAACTGTCAAAGTCGCATAAAACTGATTGCCAAACTATCACCCCCAGGATTCTCTGAGGGAAACTATGACTGGTTTCAAAATAGTCCAGATTTTTAGAGTATTTTTGCCGGATGCTTCATGAAACAGCCATGGGGACAAGTTTATCTCCAGATAAGATATTTGGGATTGGGTTATTGAATGAAAAGGCATTAAATAAAAAGATTTGAATGTGTACCATTCACTCCACAAGTCTGTTCCTCCTTCAAAAAGGTGCCTCGTCGTTTCCGCAAAGCTTTCTGAAAGACATTTGCCCTGTAGACTATATGGGCGTAAGGGCCTTCTGCTGACTGATATTTCTTCACCGGTTCAATGAAGTAATCTCCATCAGGCAGCTGAAAGTATCCAGCCTGAGAAGGGAGAGAGAGAAAGAAAGAAAGAAAGAAAGAAAGAAAGAAAGAAAGAGAGAGAGAGAGAATACATAGAACCATTACATTACAGTATTTATTATCCACCCTTCACCGAAAGCTCCCAACAATGTGAAAATACAATAGTGTGTTTTGCGAGTCTCTCTTGATTTTTCCACCTTTTGTTTCACACGGAAAGGTGGGTGGTAATTTTGGCAACTAGACAGAGGAGAAAGCATAACCTGACCTTGTGGAGCAAACTTCACTTGGGTTAAAACAAAAAAAATTGCCTAGCAACTGGCAAGAGTTTCTGAGGGGTGTGGCGACACGGCCACCTCTGCCCCAAAACACATAGTGTCATCAGTGAAAAAGGTGAGTAAGGAGGTGAGCCCCTGCTCAAGCCCCCACTTTTGGACAAAGAAGTTATTCTGTGAACAAAAAGGAACTTCCATCTTGGCTCTAGGTGGATTAGCAGGATTTCTGATGTTCACTCTTTGGGGCTGTATTCTCATATAAATATTGCACTTCATTGCAAATCTAAGTTGGAGTGTACCTGTGCGATGGTTTACCCTTTTAGCAAGGATAACAGGTAAAGGTACCCCTGCCCGTACGGGCCAGTCTTGCCAGACTCTAGGGTTGTGCGCTCATCTCACTCTATAGGCCGAGAGCTAGCGCTGTCCGCAGACACTTCCGGGTCACGTGGCCAGCGTGACGAAGTTACTCTGGCGAGCCAGAGCCGCACACGGAAACGCCGTTTACCTTCCCGCTAGTAAGCAGTCCCTATTTATCTACTTGCACCCGAGGGTGCTTTTGAACTGCTAGGTTGGCAGGCGCTGGGACCGAGCAACGGGAACGCACCCCACCGTGGGGATTCGAACCGCCGACCATGCGATTGGCAAGTCCTAGGTGCTGAGGTTTTACCCACAGTGCCACCTGCGTCCTATTTAGCAAGGATATAACACATATTATTTTCCATACCCTTTATGGCTGGGGTAGCCAGTGTAATGAACTATCACTCCTATCACCCTTAACCATTTAGCATGCTAGTTGGGGTTGATAGCAGATGTAGACCAAAAGATCTGTGCTAACCCCAATACATTATGGTGTATTAGTGCTGAGCTGCCTTATTAATTACCCTTTTGCTGCCTGAATCATTCACCATTCAGCCAAAATTTTGCACATCACCTACAGAAAGACGTATTTGGTGTGAAGGCAAAGTAAGAACAAAAGGTGGATTTTTTTTTTTACAAAAACAGCAGCTTTTTGACGTCTGAAGCAATTCTAACATACCACTCACAGATGTCAAGATGGACCAAATACACTGAACCAACAGCAGTTAAAACACCATGTGTGAACTGTTTCTTATGTCATTTATGTTGAATCATAACTAGTTTTACCTCCCTGCCCCTAGATTTTATCTCACGAAATTCACCTTTTTTACCCATATTTGCATGACTCTAAGATCTAAAAAACCAACAATTGCAGTTCTTCCAATCTTATCAACCATTCCTAGGCTAGGATGAGTCACAGCAGTCGGCAAGACTCTCCTGTTCCAGCCCCATGTTGGACAGTTTTCTATAAAAACATCAGGGAAATCACTTTTCCAATAGTCTGCTGACATGCTACAGTCCCCCCTCCCAACCCAACCCAACCCCAACCCTTGAATAAAGACATTAAGATGCAAAAGGGCAATTGAATTCTTCCTAAGCACATTAAAGTAATAAAAATGCATGACACAGCTTTCAAAATGCCAGCTGCAATTGTTGCCCTGATTGTCTAGAGTTCAGCTGGAGTTCTTTTCAGGGGGGGGGGGGGCTGGACTAGGCTGGGCTTGGGGGCAGTTCCACTCTCCCAGCATGCAAAACATCTCACATATTCATCCTGGCAAAAGTCGCCCAGCTGCAGGGAGAAAATGTGCATCTAGCAAATCATGCCTCTTTATGATCTGGTAAAGCAATGTGGGAAACTGTGTCGCAGAGCACATTAAAATGTGCAGATGCCAATTTACAAAGAATGGCGATGATTTAAATGGAGATATTCTATATCTCACCATGGTGGGGAAGACTGCGACCAGCTGTGTGTGTGTCACTTCTAGCCTAGAGGCTAGAAATGTGTGTCGGGCACAACGCCCGGACACGATGCTGTTGCATGGGGCATCCGGGCATCGCCTGGCAGCTTGGCTCCTGTGGCCAGTGACGGCTCCTCCTCCTCTTCCTACCACTACCACAGGCCAAGGGCTGCTTCCCCTCCACAGCAGGAGGAAGAGGAGGAGCTACCATGTTCCTAGCTCATGCAACCGCAGTGAGCCACTGTGGCCACACTTCTGGAAGCACATTTCTGACGCCAGCTTCCTGAAGTAGACTGGCACTGGAAGCCTAGCAGGTCTGCTGGCAGCTTGGCAGGCCTCGTGCCAGTGGACTGGCAGGCATTGCAGCAGTGGCAACACAAGCTGCCCATCAATTTTAGGGGGGCTGAAGTCACCTTAATCCCTATGAGTTGCAGCCCCTGTGTGTGCATGTATCTGGAACCACTGTAAGTGCTTCTTTGTCACTAAAGACTTAACTATGAGGCATGTGTCTTCCTGGGCTGGGGCAGGGCCAGGGTACCCATCCCTATCCCTTGTGGCTGGTTTCCCCCACTTAAATGCTCCACCAGGTTATTACTGTCTTTCCCATTGTTCTCTGAAACCAGAAGCAAATCCATCTGGAGGGTAATGCGGGGGTTTGTTTGCAGAAGAGAATCAGCAGGCACAGAAAAGGTGAATTGCACTCAAAGATACTGCACCCTGTATTTGAACTATTCCTGCGCACATGGGATTGTAAACACCTGTTTGCTAAGTTGTTTTGCCCTGTGTTAAGCAGGAAAAAGACACTTACCAGCGTTAGCAGCTACCTATCCTTTCCCTTTTTGTGTGCCAATTCCCTACCCCCACCTCCCCGGCTCACCAAAGTTGTTTGTACAATTTGTGCAGACACGTTCCCACTTCACCGAGGCATCCGTTGACTCTGCGCACGGTTCTTATGATGTATTCATTAGCTACTGTACTGTCCTCCAGGATCTCTACAGCCTGAAATGTGAGAGTTGGCATGGAACGGATGAGCGTTTTAATTATTTGCCTACTCAAGCATTTACTTACCCTGCTACTTCAGGGCAGACTGTACTGCAGACATTTCTTTGACTTTACAAAACAACCATCACGTTGCATTTTTACAGGTTGTTATGACTCTGTACAACTTGTCCTCTTATTAAAAATTAAGAACCTCAGAACATAATAAAACTAAAAAAGGAAGAAGCTGCAGGTTTGATTGACATGGCAAGCTTGGCAGAATCCAAACCAGCAAGGGAAAAGGAGAAACGAAAACAACCACTGATTAATTTTTCAAACTTTTTTTTGAAGTGAAAGAAGTATGCAAGTTACATCATCCAACATGGAGTTAATTCCCATATTTTCAGCTCAGCTCAAAAGCAGCTGGAACTTCTGGGAGGCTACTGGGAAAGTGGACTCACCATCAATGTCTGGTCCAGCGTTTCCCTTTTGCTGCTGCCAGTCTCCTCTTGAGGAGAGGTGGGGGAGCTGATAGTCAATCATCTAGGCTGGTAAGAAGACCCCTCTCCTCTGAACTGTATTTTAAACAGGCAGCTGAGTCTCCATGGGGCCCAGTAAGACCACCTAAAACCTTGTGGTCTGTAAACTTTCATTTTACTGTGGGTTTACTCATTTAAACCTATAGATCATTTGCTGCAGTGTTCCATTATGTTCTGTGTTTTGCTTTTCAATAATAACTACTTTGCAGTGGCGTAGCGTGGGGGTTGCAGGGGGGGCCAGCTGCACCGGGCGCAACATCTGGGGGTTAGGGTTAGGGGGCGCAAATCCACGGGTTAGGGGGCGCAAATCCACAGGTTAGGGGGTGCAAATTACTTGCCTTGCCCCGGGTGCTGACAACCCATGCTACGCCACTGCCACTTTGGGTATAGCTCACCATGGGAAAGTGGCTTGTATCAAACACACAGTCAGGAGGTGCTTCTAGCTAGATCATGGTGGGCAACCTTCTCCCCCCATCAAGGGTCATATTCCTTCAGGGATAATCAGTCTGGGGGCTGCTTGCCAATGATGGGTGGAGCCAGATTGATGGGCAGAGCCAGAGACAAAAGTGTCCTGGATTAACGCATCTAAATGATCAGATTATAATTTCATTTATCAAATTTATATCCCATCCTTCCTCCCCAAGGAGCCAAGGGTGACAAGAATAAAGACACATACATGCCCCAGCTCAGTTTTCACCATGTGTCAGGGGTGGGAGTCAGGAGAAGGTCAGCAATAAATCACACTGCGTCAGTGAAGTTAACTCCCTCCTCTCCTGCTTCCACTTCTAATTCTGGTTCCTGACTTCTCTCCCTTCACTCCTCTGCATCCAGCCTGCCCATGACATCACGGCCATCTCAGATTGGAATCTCATTTGTTTGTTTGCTTTTGTTTATTGAGGTATGGCTGTATTGCGATATCATAAAATATCAAGGCGGCTACACAAAATGAGGCCAGGGACCATGTGCAGTCCCCAGGCTGTCCACCTGTGCCCTAGATCTAGCCTTGTTACTAGATACCCAAGTGATGGATGTGCCATTCATCTCCTCAGAGAAAGAAGCAGCCTTTGTTTTGCAATGCTTTGATCACCTGCAGACTACTGCAGTGCATTGGGTGTGGGGCTGCCTTTGAAAACAGTTTGGAAACCTCAGTAAGACTTTCTGGGTTTCTTGAGGGGCCCAGTCCACCTAAAGTTAAGTCCCACTGATTTCAACGGGAAAGCAAATGCTTAAGTCTCTTTAAGGACTTGACAGCACTTAAAGTCGGCAAAGTCAGGGCCACTGTCCTCTTTCCACCTCTAAGAATATTTACCGTATTTTCAAAAAAGGAAAAGGAAAACAACCAAAGTGCCCCATGATTCCATTTGTCCCCCCCCTCTCTTACTGTTCCTTTGTGCATGTGTACTGCTAATTAATATGTA